AACCGACGCCCCCTTCGCGTTCGCCTTCGTCTCACTCAGGTCTCGTCGACTGACGGCAATGCAGTTCTCCTGACCGGTTCGAATCCCTACAGCGGCAGGGTTTTCGAAAATTTGCCACATAGCTAGCACGAATTCAGCCGGAGAATTTAGTGCCCGGCTGCGCTGATTGGTAGATTTCCTGCAATCAACACCAGGCGAATCCCGGAGCAGTACCCTAACAAACGGGCCACGGAACGCGCGCGATTTTTCCTTCCTCTTCCTTGTCCTTTCCTCACCTCTCGCATACACACACTCAAACATACATTCACTACACTGTCACACGTGTCGGGATGCCTGCCGGGAGCTAAGAGCTTGTCACGCTTGTCACGGCGTCATGGAAGCGATGCCTCACTTGTTGGTGATACCTAGTGGAGGGAAATCCCCGCATGACGACGTAGGTCGGCGCCGGATCTCGCCATCCAGATGGGAAGATCACTGCCACCTCCCGAGATAAAGAAAACACACACTGCTCTTACGAAACTAATGACCTTAGCAATTGACGCACCTGGAATCAATAATCAATCAATGAATCAATCAATTTAAGCAAATTTTTTTTAACTTAGGAATGGCAGGGCTTTATGAAACTCTACTCTTCCAATTTTCAGTTGCTTGCATATCACAGACGGTAGTTCGCGCGAAAATACGAGTATTATTTGCTATAATACGAGTTTCATCGTTCCTAGAGGTTCGTCATCTTTTTGTCTAGTTGTAGCCCTAAGGCGCCAGTTCCTAATATTTTTGGTCGCAGAACCCTTTTAAGACTTCCTCCGCAAAGCCCTACCCCAGTGCATAAACATTGATTTAAATTTTTAAGTCCAAGACTTGCAGCTTTCAGCGAATCTTAATCATTCATTAGCTTTTTTTAAAATTTAAGGTCGCATCAACTTCTAGGTCATTAGCGACCACTATTGCTTGTAAAGGTATGGTAACTGTGAGGATAACATGATATGATGATAGGGGGGTGAAAGGACGAACACAATACAACCATGCCTGAGGGGAGGGTCTCCCGATCCTTCAGTCCCGCGATCCTTCAGTCCGAGATCGCTACGGCACTACCGCATTATCGACCTCGGCCACCAGATCAGCTTTCCTCAGTTTTCTGTTCAATAGCTGAATGCGTAAGTTTTATTTTAATATCTGTGAAATGACTTTTTGAATTTTCTCAACGAACCTTTAAAAGGCCTTCGCTTTTCGGGGTTCCACGGAAAAGAGTTTGCGAATCGCTGCCCTAGAGTAGTTTTGCGCAATGAAAGTTTGTGGCAGAGCCCTCTCCTTTTTAGATTTCCTATGTACGTGGGGTGTGGTAACCCCAAAGGAAAGTGTCTTTTTTTTGCACTACAAGGCAGTGGAGCCTCTTGACAAACGTACGATTATTTTTCTCTTTCTTTTTCCTTTATCGTCCACTATACTAAGACGTCTTCATCGCTTTCACACAATGTTTTTCCCCTCTTCACCACTCCATCTCACACATCGTGTTTCTTCCTCTGCAGTTGGTGATGTATTTCAAAAACACTCTCTAACGAACGACGATTTCGACGGCTTCTCTTTAGAGTGAATATGTTTCAACTTCCTTACATTTACACTGATTGAAATGGTGGTTTTAATACAAATTTTCATTCCACGAGATATTTAGATGAGCGCGCCCAAGGAGGAGAGGGTGGGGGGCGGAGGGGGCGTGCATGGGACTTGACACCCCCCTCCAAGGACACATTCACATTTAACTTTTTAGTATACTTTATAGTGGCGAGAGAAATCCAATATTTCAATTAAAACCTTTATGAATAAACAAAAATATTATATTCAAATTCAGTCAATATTAAATTTAAAAACTTCTTCCTTACCACCCTCTACGAAAATCCAGATTTCGCCCCTCCACGACCTTCAAATTGTTCTCTTGAAGAAATAATCAAATATTGAAGTGAATAAGTACTCCAGGAAAAATAAAAATATCAAGCGAAAATAGTATCATTTTCAATTGGCGAGCCTTTAATAAGAAAATATATTTCACCTTACGAAATTATTAGAGAGAGTGGAATAACGTAAGAACGTTGCTCAAGTTTTTGAATGCCTAACCTTGATATTACAACAATTCACCTTCTTCTTACTATCACGTACAAGAAGTGTTGTAATGCAGATTCTCTAAAAGATAAAAAATGGACTCAAAGCATTTGTAATGTGAAACATGTGGTCAAACGTCATCGACTGCAACTGAGACTCATCCTCCAAAAGAATTCTCGAAGCCGTCGTGAAGTCTGTTTAGAGAAAGAAAAAATATATTTTACTTTCCTTCGTACTCCGTCTACACATACTTTAAGATGAGGATTGTATTTATTCAATCTTTGAGTACGCAATGTTTGTTTCTAGCATTTGTATTTCATTGTAGTACCAGTATGTACAGAACACACGATATTATAAAGACCAGATGCACCATTACAAAGCAGGGCATCGAAGGACGAGAGGGTTGACCCAGTTAATTAGCAGAGCCACAGGGCGTGGGAGGAGGTCGCCGAACCCAAGGCAAACAGTCGCCGATCGACGCAGAACAGCTGACGGGGGAACGGCCACCGCTGGGCGCGTAATTCGAAAGCACTGCTGTCGCCACGATGAAACCAGGCTATTAGCCTTCACGACGGGCAGTGCACGGTGGGGAATTGACACAGCACATTACCCGAACGACAAAATATTTATGGATCTTTTTTTGAAGACACTAACTGCATAAAATGAAACGTAAAAAAATTATCACACAGGATGAAAAATGAACAAAATGTTTTATGGTGTACAGTGAGAGGTAAATGATTGCTAGTAACTAAGCAGTTGAACAGCGACCTAAAATAAATAACACACAAAAATGAGAGGGAAGGAATGGTTTGGTATGTAAAATAGAAAATAATACAATGAAACGAACGATACACGGGTCTGCATATTTGTATTTTACGTAACGAACGTAATATTTCTGGAGATAAAATGTTACGTATTGAAGATTTTCTAATCGGTGTGTGCGGAGAGCAATGACTCCTTACACGAAAGGAGGATGCGAGTGTGAACAGGACGAAGGGGGATGGGGCCGCTGCGCTCGACCTTTCCTGGCGAGGGGGGGGGGGCATCTCTCTACGAAGTACAAAAGCACGCACACCCCGTTTTCCTATTATATTAATACCTTATAACTAACTTTATATTTATACACACAAGTGTCAAAAGTTTGTCTTTGAAACGAAATGGAATTCCAGAAGCAAAACAGGGGAACTTAATTGCCTCATCTCAAGGAAAAATGACAGAATGACATATTTTTCAAAGGTTATTTGCTATATTTTTTCGCACTTCAAACGTATTATCTCACGATTATAATATTTTACACTTAAAAAATTTGCTTAAAGTACTAATTAAGGAGAATCTAATCAAAATGCGTAGTGTTCACTAGGCGAAAATATTGTGTTGGATAGGAGAAGCTGTAGTTTTTTATACGCACTACACGCTCCTGCTCTCAGATTTCTTCAAAAAGCATTTAATTTAATGTGTTAGAATGCGTTTTGAAGAATTTTGAATTCAGGAGCGTTTCGATAAGTACCTCCTCAATTATCGAACAATGTTGAAAGTATCATACAATTAGTATATTCATTTCATTTCGGTATTATTGTTCGAGAGGCTCGTTGCGAATACTGAAGGCAAACGCGACGGCCTTTGCGCCTTGGCGGCCGCTGCGGCGGGTGCCCCTCTTGCAATTAGAAGGCGCAGCTGCGGGAGGGGAGGGGGCGGGCGGCGGCTGGCGGGACGCGGCTGCGCGCCCGCTCGCAGGCGAGCGTGCAAATATGACGCGCGCCGATTGAATGGAATTCATGCGCGGGAGGCGCGCCCGCACGGCCGCGCTGCAGAAACGCCGCCGACGGGAGCCGCTTTTGGGCGTCAAGTTATAAATATTGAGGCGCGGCTGGCGCCGCGGTCCGCGCCGCGGCCGCGCCGCGCCGTCGCCCGCCGTCATCGCTAAAAAAAGAAGAACGCGAAAAAATATAAATTTCGGCGGGAAAAAAATGAAGGGCGAAAATTAAGAGCGCGGCGGCCGCACGCCGCGCGCGCGGCGCACCGGGGACATAGAGGGCTGCGCGGAGCGGCCGGCGAAAAAAAGCGACGAGCGGACGCCTCGGCTGAGGGCGGGAGAGGGGCCTGCCTAGCGACCGGACGCTGACCCAATGGGCGGCCGCCTTCGCGTTGCCCGCGGCGACGCGGTGGGCGCGCTGCGCCGGCGCGGGGCGGCGCCGCGCCGGTGCCGGCCGGCGAAGGCGGCGCCGCGCCGCCGTCGCGCGCCAATGTCGCCGACGTCACGTGACGGCGCGCGCGGCCAATCTGCGGCGCGCTCACCCCCCCTCCGACGCCCGCCCGCCGCCGCCCCCGCCGCCGCCACCGCCGCCGGCCCCGCGCCTCAAAGCCGTCTCGCGCGACGCTGCTGGCCGGAGCGCTTGCGCTGGCTGCTTGCGTCGCCCCAAACGCCCCGATCCGACCCGACCCGGCGCCCCCAACGTCGACTGCACGCGCTGCCGCTCCGCGCTCGCCACCCGCGCGCGCCGCACCCTCCGCACCGCCTCGCCACGCCGCTCGCGCCCTCGGACGCCTCGCCCTCCGCAGCGCCCCGGCATGTGAGTGGCCGGCCGCCCGCGCAGCCGCCCAGGGATTAGGCCTACGCGAGCAGCGCGTTCGCGCCGCCGAGGCCGCCGCCGCCGTCCGCTGTGTGGAGCGCGGGCTTGCGAGGGAGGGCCTGGCGGGCCGCCGTCCAGCCGCCGCCGCGCCCGCGGGCCCTCCTGCTGCGGCGCAGCCATCGCCCCGCCCCGCCGCGCCGCCAGTGCCCTTCCGCCGCCGCCGCCCCCGCGCCCTGCCCGGCGCATGGAGGAAGTGTGCGCCGCGTAGGGCCTCCCACGCGCGCGCCGCCCGCCGAGCCCGCCCGCCCCCGCGCCCCCCCGCCCCCCCGCCAGCGCGCCGCGCGCCGCACCAACGGTGGCGAACCGCCCCGCGGGCCCCCGCCCCTCGGCCCCCGCCCCCTTCCACCCCCATCACCTGCGCCCCCGCGGCTCGCCTGCTGCCGCACCCCTCGCCGCCACGCCCCGCACGCCGCGGCCCATGCGGGCTCGCCGGCGGGCTGCTGCGCCGTCACCACCTCCCACAACATAGGTGAGTGCAAGTGCGAGTGACAGGCAGTGACGTCTTGGCCCGGGCCTCCCGCGTGTGCGACCGCATGCCTCAGCACGCGAGTAGCGTTGCCCGCTAACGTCCGCTCACGCAGCATGCAACTGCGGATTCATGTGAACATGGCAAAGAACCAGTGATCTATAAAAAGTAATTTTATTATCCTTGGACTTTGATTTCCATCTCATTCAACATTTCCTTAAACCGAAAACTTTGATTGGGTTTCATTTAACATGTATCATGCGCGAAGTCAGGTATTTTCCAATAAAACGACTGAGAACATCAATATTCTCCTCGACTTTGTCTCGTGTTTCGTTTGCCATTGATATTCTGATGTAGAGTGAAAAGTTCGTAGTATGCGTTTCGAAGAGACTTCTACGGTAGACGTGGGCGATTGTGCGTCCTGTTAACAGACCCTGAAAGTGATCCTCCTCGTCCAACACAAATCACTCGTCCCGACTGCGGTGAAGTCCTTTCTCAGCCTCGAGGGGCGCAGCGCATTGAAATCACTCGCGCGGCGGTGAAGTGGCGATGTCACCGAGCGCCCACGCTGCTCCGTGCGCCAGACAGCACGCGACACCTCGCACGGAAACTGACGGAGTCATTCAAGTTCGCGGCGCAGTCAAGCTTGTGGCTTGAATGGTGTTACGGTTACCGTATCGGGTTGTTTTACCCAAGTTCAAACCCCATCTAAGCCCCGGAGGCCGAAAATTTTCTTCGAAACCCCTCCTTCGTACGTCTTATTTCGGAGGGGAAGTAAAGTCGGCTGTCCCTTGTAGTAGATTTACTGCACGTAATAGATTCTAAAGTCTAAAAGAAGCTTCTGAGCTTCATTCATATCGCTGGGTTTGCATCTAAAGTGATACCTTCTCTCTCCGCTCCGTGCGAAATTTGCGTGGTCAGACGGAAGAGCTGGCCTGATGGCTGGAGTCTCGACATGTACAATAAGGCATAGCTGAATTGCGTCGAAGTTCTTTCCGGGCAACGAACTCTCCCGGAGTCAGGCAGCGGGCGTTGATGTCTCCAGGCGAAGGGCGTCCGCCTCCACGTCACACGAGCTCTCCTGCGCTTTAAATCTCCTCTGTGTCATTTGCACAATGAGATGAATGCAATGTCGATTTTTGTATAGTGGATGATGCAATTAAGTCATTATTACATCTCCTTTCTTATAAAATGAATATTTTAAAACTGGTAAGCACATTTCTGAGGCCCCGAGCCCCGTTCGGAAGAACGTTTGCGAATTAATTAAAAATATTCATTTTATAAAGCATCAGGTGTAACAATGACCTAATATCATCGGCCACTATATGAAAATCGAATTGCAATCTGGAACTTAACGTCTACCTTAATGAAGACCACTGGCCCGAGAAAAAACATTGTCGCACGCACGATTTTTCTCTGAGAGGGGCTACAGGTATAGGTGTCCAGCTAACTTAAGTTTTTCATGAAAATAATTATTCATTTGTGACGACAAAAAAATTATTTTTATTTTCCAACTTATAGTTAATATTTAAAACAAAACAATTGATATATTGAATATTTCGTTTTAGGTTTGATAATTCATTTGATATTACAGTTGATATATTTATTTCATTTGTAGAGAAAATTAGTAAAAGCTACATATATTTTTAAATATGTGTAATTGGCGTCCGGTCAGGGGGGGCTCTGAATCCCCATGACTCCCCGCTTTGGTCACGCTACTGGTCAAATATACATACACATTCTTGGAAAGTACATTTATTTCTGAATATGAAAACTGCACTGAGAGAATTGTTTGGATCGGAATCTATGATCATCCTTTGAGATCCATACTGGCGTTAATGTGTGAAAACATTATCTTCTGTTAAAATAGACAGTGTGTTTTCTCGATATGCGCATCACGGTGTCAAAGTGCGTGGTGACGTTCTGTTGCTTTGTGAAAAGTTACAATCCCCCCCCCCTCACACACACAGACTCGGAAGCTCTGTAATCGACAAGGAAAAAATTAATGTGCTTCATGAATGTTCTGCAATCTAAAATGCAATTCTGTTCTAATTAATATTTGACTTCGATTTGGTAGCGTTTAGTTAATATTCATATGTTCGATTGATATGAGATCGCTTCTCCACGAGCCAAAGGAAGTGCGATCATAATTACAGAAGACTTACCGTTATCCGCACTGTAGTGAACTGAGCCAGCCATCAGACAACTAACAAAATAATCCACTGGAAAATGAACCACGAAGTGTAAAATAGTTGCTGCAATTGACGCGGGGCGGCGTATGTGCTGGGCACCGGTTTTATTGAGATTGCAGGGACCTCAGCGTATTTGGTAATCATGAGATTCACTCGTCAAACTTTGTTTGTCGTAGGTCTGTGTCTCTGTGAGACTGCGGTAAACGTGATTCTTCATTTGTATTGGGAAACGTGAATAACCCCCAGCCGATGCGAGTTTCTTCTTATCCGAGGGAGTCCCGTTGCAGCTGTGAATGTCTTTCGTCTTCTCACTGACACCTAACACTCACCGTGCTGGATACTCGGATTCCCATGAAATTTCGCCAGCTGTCTAAACACCATGCAAAGCCCACATATTCAAATTTTGACGTGCTACGGAGTATTAGAAGTAATGTTTTTGAGGCGCTTTGCTTCAAGACCTCTCGTGACCTCCGTGTCTCCCACTGCGAGCAAACAGCATCGGCAGCGGCAGAGATGTTATGCGACGCCATCAACCAGTGTCAGATTGCTAGCTCGTTCTTTCTTTCAATAGTAATAACAAAAGCAATTTCCTTTGGTCTCTTTTGAGTTTGAAGTGCAGAGTGCCACGCGCTTTTAATAATCGTACTGCAGTCAGCTCTAAGGTTACCTTAAACCAATGCTATTTTTGAGGAAACGTAAAAAGAAACCTACATACGGTGAACTTGATGACATTTATGACTCATTGCATGTTTTGACATTTTTTTATTTGACCCCCATTTTTGTGATACTTTTGTTTCTAACCGAAACTTGAAATGTATGTACCTACGTACGTATGAATGTACTATGTCCGTATGAATGTATGTAGGTAGTAGGTATGTATTTATCGTATATAAAGAAAACATTTTCAGTGAAAAGTCTCTTTGTAATAATTTTATTTAGATTATTCAGCACGCGTAATAATCTTATTTGGATTATTGGAAAATTAATAAGCTTTTTAATAATTTTATTTGGATTATTCAGCACGTGTATTCTGAATCTGCCGTGTAAACACTCGATTTTTTCACCTCGCCTACCTGCCGAGGCAATGCCCACCCTGCCGACAGATAGGCTGGTGATTTCCGTGCTTCGACAGGCAGTAAGATCACGAAAGTAGTAACTGTCAAAAAACAGCACTTGCAATGCTTCGTAACACTTCAAAATTTCTATGTCGGGGTTTTGAAAGTTGGTGAATGAGCAGGTGAAATTGCATGTCGGTTCGAGCTCCCAGCACGGCGAGTGTGGCGTGTGAGGGGAGCGGCGACGGCGGGCGCGGAGGCGTTGGGGAAGGCGGGCAGGTGAGCGGGCGGGCGCGGGCGCCGCTAGGCGTTAATCTGCGCCGGCCCGGTCCGCGCTAGTGCCCGCCACACGCCTTCACCCGAACGCGCGACTCTCAGGCACACAGCGATCACTCTATCAAGAGCCGCTTTGACCGCTATTGCTTGGCGGCTTCCGGAAACATGGCTGCAGGTTCTGTTTCGTTTACTTAATAAATTCATTTGCAGATGGCTCACTTGTAAGTGGCCGAGCGGAGTGCCTCGATGCGTAGCGCGCTGACTTGGCACTCGGGAGGCCCGGGTTCAATCCGGCCGTCACCGGGGTTTTCGTGGTTTCCCTATTACACACAGGGCGGCCCCCTATGTTGTGTGCGAGTCAGCATCCACGCGGAATACGAAGCACTAAAAGTAGATCGTTCGTTATTTCAATTTTTTTTTCATAACGTACTTGTTAAAATTTTGAGTACTAATCTATTTGTTTTTAAACACTCCCTTTTGGTAATAATACTCCATTAGATGCATGTAAAACGCACTATTCATTTCAGTGCGCTCGAATAATAGCCGATCTTAATAGCAGGTGATTCGCGAAGGTTCACGGGCCGCATTCCCGTAGTACGTCCACCGCGAGCACCAACAAAGGAACATTTCGTTCCTTCGGGAGCTGCCTGGAACGGCAGGGAAACGACTCGTAATTGGTCAAGCCTCATAAATGCCAGACTTACGTTTTTCTTACGACAAAGCCTCAACCGATGATTTGCTGCAATATGAAAATATACGATAGTGATTTTCTCTATCAGGGTATATTCAACTTTTTGTGATCAACAATGTTTACATATCACTAGACAGTGCTCGTGAACTACTTTTAATTACCACACCTGCCTTCGCTCAACCAATGTTGGCACTGAAGGGTAGTAAAACAGGCAGGGGCGCTGCGATGCCGTGGTGTGTAGGATGGCGGAACGCGCTTGGAAGTGAACCGTGTTCGGGTTGTCTTGTTGAAGAGCAACACTATGTTCAGCCGCGCTACGCTCTTGGGGTTTCGGGTCGAAGGCGGATGATCCAGGAAAAGCCTCGGTGTCTCTATGAGCCACGCGCCAAGCAAACGGGGTCCTCCCAGCCGCGGCCTCCCTTCAGGTGTCTCGGCGGAAAACGAGGAATAATTTAGAGGTCTCTCCTCCCAGAGTTTTCTGCCGCTCAGAAACCTTTCGATGAATGCCTTGGGCGAAATGTTTTGCTTTGGCGTCAACAATTATTGACAGCAGGGGTACTGTGCTGCCGGTTTCACATGACATGGCAATTCAATGTCTATGTAATTGTGATATCTTTGAAACCGTTTATACAATAATAAACCAAATAAAATGTTGCAACGATTGTTTGGAGACTAATATATAACATTTCGTATTTTAAATTTGCCGAAAGCTGTAAATCGTACACAAATAACTCGATTTGATTGTAAATGCATTGCATTATTGTTTTAGACATCTAAAATTTCAAAAGC